TTTTTTTTTTTTTTTCAATAAGTCAAATTGAAGCTTTTTGGTTTCTATGGCAAAAACAGTACTAAAACATACTTAGCAGAAACTTTTGCAAGCTATCAAATGTATTACTTTTTTTAGAACAGAAAAGTTTACTATTACCTGTCGGCAGACGAGCAAAACCTTCCATTTTATATCCGTAATGATACTGGCGAAATAATAATCTTTGGAACTGTCGATCGTGAAGAAAGATCACAATATGAATTTGATGTAATTGTAAGTTTCTTAGATTTAGTTTTATAAGAGAAGAGATTGTTACAAAGGTTACAAAGGCAACAATCTCTTCTCTTCAAAAACTAACCTTCAAACAGACTATCCGCATACTGCAACAAATCCCAACTTGTCGTTTTTCACTTCTTGTTGTGCGACCGATTCTTTCATAAACGAGCCTACACTGTTTATTATAAAACAACTCATTACAGGGGCAGCAGCTCGTGCTTTTTGAAATACTTCCCTTTAAGAATTGGAGTATTTTCCATTGAGAACATCTTTCTTAAAAAAAAAAAAGAGCACTTTCCTTTTTTTAAAATTCATCATAACTTTCAAAAGAAATCTTCTTAAAAAAAAAAAACCTTTGAGTACCTGTATATTTGGCTAATAATAAAACACTTGTATGTTTTCAGGCAGTCGTCGATTCTGTCCCACCAGACATGGGAAAAACTCATGTTTTAGTGCAGATTTTGGACGTCAATGATAACAGTCCACAGTTTCAAAATCCTGTTTTGGCGGTACCTATGTTAAGAAATGCATCAGCCAACGATATGGTGACCATCTTCAGAGCGCTTGATGAAGACAGCGACTCTTTGGGCACTGTTCGGTACTCTCTCTACAATGTTACAGATGTCTTCAACATTGGTGAAAGTGGTAAGTTCTTACTCGCATTACGTTCTTCTAAAATGGAGCAGAAATTTTTTAAATTGCATTGTAACTGGATACGCAGATAATGTGCCAATATTTTTGATAATGATAAGCGATTTAGATGGTGAGCTAAGACTACGAAAGCCACTGCGGGAAGTTGAGGATTCAGTTATCTACGTGGCAGTTGTGGCCAGCGATTTAGGAAAACCTGCATTAAAATCGACGCATAATGTAGGATTTTGCTTAATTGACCATATTGCTGTCTGCATTTTTTGTGGTTAATTAGTTGATGTTTAAAGTAAGCGAAAAATCAGAAGTTTTTCTAACACTTGCAGTTTTCTTTTCTTTTTTAGTTTCGTGTAGAAATATTTGAAACTGACCAAGTTGGTCCATTGTTTCGGGAGAAAAGGTATCCCGCCAGTGTTGCTAGTGATGCTGCAGCTGGCACTGTTATCACCCAAATAGTGGCTGGTGTGGGACCTTATAAGTATAAGCTTTCAGGTAAAAACTTGATTTCTACAGTCGTTACTTTTACTCTTATTTTGTTACGCAGAAATTTCTTTTACTAAAGAATTTTGAAAGGAATCTGTACATACGCTGCATTCCTTGCTTAAAAGATTTGTTTGAGATACACATTCTGGTCTCTTTGAAATCAACGACAACGGGGTGTTGACTCTTGCTGCAACACCTTCGCGAAGTGAACATGATCGTGCTTATACGTTTAATGCAACAGCTACAGATGAATTTGGTCGAGAATCTGTTACTGAAGTATGTTGTTCTTTATGTATAGTTACGGTTCTACAATGCAGAAAAATAATTAAAATGGTCGCTTATGTTAATGAAAGATTGATTTCTTAAACAATTTTTGTAAACCGTATCTCATAGAAATTTATTCTACAGTGTTAAATACGCTAATAATTGAGTGAGTTATCCAGGTAGAGGTCTTTGTGGCGGGTACTGATTTTGTTGAAACTACAACTGTTTCTGCAAAGAAACAATGCAAATTTACCTCTAAACAGTTCAATACTGAAGTTTACGAAAATGAATCGGGCCGCCAAAAAATTCTGAAGTTAACTTCAAATTGCGAAGACGAAGATCATGTGTACGTCATTGCACAAGGTTCAGGTAAATACTGTTTGCCATTTTGAGGCGGGTGATTTGCAATACGAGCAGAAGTTGAAATATATGCTCGAGAAAGTTGCTGATGCATCGCGCTTTATATTCTGAGATCAATTTTTTTGCTAGTAATAAGTCAGTACAGTTTGTGCCGAGTTTCAGGCGAATTTGAAGTGGATGCAAAAACTGGTGAGCTTTACGCGATTGAACCATTAGACAGAGAGAAACGGAGTTTACACTTCATTATTGTTGGCATTATTGAAGCAAAGAGCATTCCAACACGCGAGAAGAGACAAGCAAATTCTGTTGTCGAATGTAAGTGTAATTTTTTTTTGCCGAAAGCTTGAAAGATTTGAAGTTTAAACAAAAAACTTTTTCATTTTTTGCATTATTTTAGTAATGAAAGCAAAGCTAAAACCTTGGCAAGCATTGGTAACCGTTCATGTACTGGATAGAAACGACAATAAGCCATATTTTGTCAAGCAGAACAAACAAGGTGCTTACGTCTACAGTGTCGACTGGCAAGCAGCTCTTTTAACTCCCATTGCCAGATTACATGTAAGATCGTTGATGGCTGAAATAATTCTTAAGATTCAAAGTGAAGAGTAGAGTAGTTGGAAATCGCAGAATCTTTTGAGAAGTAGCAGTATAAACTTAGGACTATGACAAAGATTCCAAGAAAATGCTATTAAACTAAACTTTCAAGTTCTGAAACTTTT